TTCCATTTTTTAAAGTAGCATAGTGGGAATTGACAAGAACATGTTAACTTCAGCAGTCGAGCAGAAGCAAGTTTTCACTCCATAAGTTTTCACTCAATAATTAGAGTTTTTAACCTATTGGCAGAGGATAGGCCCTGATAGACTACCCAAAATATGTTTAGTGGAACATATGGCTTAGCCTATCCCCTGCATAAGCTGAATTACCAAACTTGTTTCATAATATGGGTTTTCCACTCTCAACTGCCTCCCAGGCAAAGGAAATTTTCAGAGTCCCAGATATCAGTACCCAAGGAAACATGGAAATATTGGGAAAAAATACATCTTTAATTTGACTGGCTAAGAACAAAACCATTTTCCAATATAAAAAGTACCTGCCAATGAATTTGATGCAATTCTTATGAAGGGCCTATTATGAAGAGCAGCATTTGACATACTAGATTCCATGACCAAACATGGGTGCTTCCATCACATATTATAAAATGATGTATAGAGAAGGCAGTTCAGCTAAGAACTTGTTATATACTAAACAAATTGGGATATCATAAACAGGTGAAATATTTTTCTATATTTACCACATGCATATTTTTGTTTCATGTTTTTATTTATTTTATCCTGGAATTAATTCCTGTATTTAACCTTTATTTTATTGTCTCTGATGTGGTTCAAGGCTAATTACTTCACTGTTCCCCACTGCAGGTAACCAAAGCATTTTCCATAGATAAAAAATAATTTTTAACAAACCTGCTAGAATATCTTGCAGCATACATGTCAGAGAATATTGAGCCCATGCTCCTCCCCAAGAGATATCACCTCTGTTAAAGTCTGTCCCAACCAGGAGCAGTAGTAGCCTTTCTAACTGAGCTTCATTCACAATCTCACATAAATGAATTGTAGGCCTTGTTGCATTTGCAATTCTAGCAAGAACCTGAAATAAAAACAGGTAGACAAAATTCTCTTTGCTGCAACTTGTTTCATATCTATGGAGAACACAGCACTTCTACAAAATTTAGATTTGAATATTTAGTAATTGTAATTTACACATGTATTTATAACTAATGGTAAAGGAATTTAGAATAATATCAGAAGTATTGATATTGATCAAAAGAAGAAATAAGATAATCTTTCTGGTTTGAGAGTATATGTAACTTTAGTTTGATGCCTTCCATCTGCAACTTGGGGAAGGTCTTCTCATATAAAGAGTGCCCCTCCCCATTTCTAATGTCTTTATTTTTAATTTCATCTTGGAAATTGAAAGTTATTGTGCTTCAACCAACAGTGTTTCTATCTAACCGAACACCACTTTCAAAAATTCCCAACAAAATGTTGGTTTATTTCCCACCACTCCCTCTGCTATCATGGTTCAGATTTTGGCCAGTTATCAGGCACATTGGCAATATTTTTCACAGGCTACATCTTTAGTCAAGAGGGGAAAAGAAGCAAAATTTAGGTGCTCTGGTTAGCATAAATTAAAGGTTTGTGTAAAGCAAAACTGTTATTTGATACAATACATAGCTTTTGTTTCAGCACACATACATTGAGAAAAAATATAGATGATTTTATATAAACAACAGCTAGGAAAAGGTACATCGTATTGATGGAATTATATTTAAAGTTCAACAACTAGTTTTCTTCTCTTGTTGAAACATTTTTATTGAAATGTTATCCTACCAGAGCGAAACTCCTTGGGATCAGAACAACAGTGGATCTTTTAAAATTATCATCTCAAATAATTTTATTTTATTATTTTCCCTCAAGGGGTTGAAGTCATCATAATTTTGGATGACAAATAATTATTGGGAAATTTTTTTGGGAGAACTACTGATCCAACCTAGTGTACTGAAATGCAAGTTTTCAAGTTTTGATCAGATTTATTTCTATTAACTGCATTGCATAATCCATACCTTGCATACAAATAACAGCAAATCTGCATGACAAGTAAAATCCATTGACAATAGGAAGAGGGCCAGTTTCTGCACTACTGAGATACAGCGCTCATGTGCCAATGTAAATGGAAGGGGCTCAATTTCTGGAGTTTCTTTTGCAGTTGATACTTCAGTGTCTAATGTAGAACGGGGCCACTCTGCAGTCCGTCGTAAGCGTATCAAATCCTTAAAATGCTACAGAAATCATAAACACAAACACATTTGCCATTATTCAACTATTCACTGAATCATAGTAGTAGATAATTTCACAAAGAAAGAAAGAAAAAACAACCACATAAATCACTAGTATCAATAACACAGTATTTCAATCAAAAAGAAATGAGAAAACATTGAGTTCTCTTATCTTATGTAAGCCTTAGATTACAATATTACACAATAAATCCAAATAAATAAATGTCTATTTAACATACATACATAAGATTCTTTCCTAAATCACAGCACGAATAACATTGTTTTCAAATTTATAATTCTTGTAAGAAACAAATTAACTGATTACATAAACTATTACTCAACTATTATCACACTGAACCCTTTGGATAAGACACTAGATAAACCTGATGTCTTAACATACAATGGTTTCTAGGTTAGATGATATGAAAATTGAATCATACGAATGATTATTGGTCTTCAAGTGAAGATTTCTCAATACTTTGTACAACTTGCCTCTAACTGTGAGATGGGTGTCATATAAATTTAATAAATAAACAAATATTCTTAAAAGAAATAACTAAAACTGATAGCCAAGAATATTTCAGACAGTTCTGTGGACCAAAAAGTGCTTAATTAAAACACCCTTTTACTTGAAGAGCAACCTACATCACATAATAAGAGAATGGATAGTGAAAGGGGAGTTGTTTTAAAAAGACAAATCCAACTTCCTTTGGCCTTAGTTAATTAGTAGCATAATTATTTGGATATTGTCCATGCACCTTTTATGATGACTCAAAAAAGGGCACAGTTGGAGAATTGTTGAAATATTCTAATGTAATCTTAATTTTTATAACAAGGAACTATCTTGATGTGAATAACCCACAGCATTACTCAGAAAACAACTTACATAAAATATATGTACATATGAACAGGTACCTATGTTAGAATTGACTAGTTCTAAAACTAGAGATATAGCAGGTAACTGAATCAACAGGTTAGGCCTTAAGAGGCACAATTAAATCATTTGTGGAAACAATGAACCCAAAACATATTTGAATTTGCAGAAAAATATTTTTCTGCACAAGACAATAAATATAATTGCAGAACATCATACCTTTGACGTGGCCTGCTTTAGTTTTGCCTGTTCTACTAAAAGTTTATAGGATGATCCTTTGTTGCTTTGTATTTTTTCTTTTTCCATCTGTTCCACCAAAGCCTTCTGTTTTGCTTTTAATAAGTTAAGTTGCTAAAAGAAAATATTAACAGTGTATAAAAATGTATATAATAAGATGCAAAATAGATATGCATTTTCATAGGATGGTCAAGTTAAAGTTTTTTAAATTTTAGTTTTTATATTTATAAAACTTTAACAGGCTGCCAACAGACTTGAATTACAAAGCCAGTTTCAGTAACAGATTTAAGGTTGCAGAAACTGGTGAGGCTTCAAACACTATATATAGGAGCAGATATTTGCCAAGTGTTTGTCCTCACTGTCAAGTTTTTCAAATGTTGTATAATGAGCAAGTTAAATAGAACAGTGGTTTCTCACATTACTTCAAAGTTTCAAACTTATGTGAACTCTTCTTCTACCAAGATGGTGAAAATCTTTTATTCCACCCTGCAGGGCACGCATAGGATTTCCTTAGATCCCTTGTCTGCAATTATTATATTGTCAGTATCAGTCACACTTTCAGTTAGGTTCATGGTTGCTGTGGGAAAGTCAGGCAACTGGAATTTCCTTTAACTTGTTTCAGTGCATCCCAGCTATATGCTACCTAACTTATAAAATGTTGCTCTGAATATAAAACATGAATTGTATCTCAAAAGCATAAATCCTCCTGTAATTTAGAAAAAGAAAGAAAATCATTAATATGAGATAGAAGTTACCTGTTTGTGATGAACAAGCTGTTTCCTGATCTTTCTGGAATATAACCTATCTAAGCTACTGTTGCCTTTTGAAGATCTATTGAGGCTCTGTGTATGTAAATTATTGTTAATGAAACTCCACTGATTGCCTGAAAAGCAAAACAAAATGATATTTCAAATTTGGTAGTTAATGTTTTACACACAGACCACATATACACACAAAAATCAGTACACGTATTTTGGAAAAAAGAAAAAAAAAGTATTTTGTTAGTTTGTTAAAGGATATAAACATTGATTGAATTATTGTTATGGATGCTAGGAAAATAATTGATTTAGCTTTATTGAAAGGACCAGAGACGGTATTTAGAAACAGTTAGCTTGCATCCTTTAAAACAGGGCTTTTTTTGAAATGAAATGTTAATTGAATGATCAAACAAACAAATAAGTATATTTTAAAAGGAAGGCAGAAAAGACATTAAATGCTGCACAAGAAAATCAGATGAGAAAGGAAGTCCTATGCAATAAATGTGTGTATATCAACCAGGGATGAGCTTTCAGGCTGAATGGCCTTGGCCTCATCTTATATTATCCTGACATTTCACCAGTATTTTCAGAGCCAGTGTGAACTGTTTTGTTGCGTACAGGTAGTCCTCAACTTCAATTAGTGAGCGTTCAAAGTGACGACGACTTTGAAAAAAGTGACTTATGACCTTTTTCGCACTTATGACCTCTGCAACATGTCCATGGTTATATGATTAAAACTCAAATGCTTGGCAACTAGTGCATATTTATGACTGTTGCAATGTCCCGGGATCAAGTGATCACCTTCTTGTGACCTTCTGACAAGCAAAGTCAATGGGAAAGCCAGATTCACTTAACAACTGTGGTGCTAAATTAACAACTGCAGTGATTCACTTAACAACCGTAGCAAGAAAGATCGTAAAATGGGGGAAAATTCACTTAACAACAGATTCACTTAGCAACAGAAATGTTGGGCTCAATTCTGGTTGTTAAGTCGAGGACAACCTGTACTTCACGGCATCTCACAGACAACTGAACAGAACGGCTTGATTGGCACTGGCTGTAAAACCTTCAATCAGCCTGAAACTGAGTGGACCGTAGAACATTTTCTTTGTAACAATTAAGATCCCAATTTTTTTTTAACAAAGAAACTATTCAATTACTGTATATTTTGAAATTAAGCTGAACTAAAAGGTTGTATCTCTTAATCAAACCATTGGAAAACTATCCCGAAATCTGAGGACTATAGATCTATTACTACAAAGCAGAAGATACAATTCCAGAATTTTTTGAAACGTGTATGGGAGAGGGAGAAAACAGTAGCTAGCATTTATGTCAACTAAAAGCCTACTAACCCAGACTTCAACTTAAACCTGGGCTGCTGTGTTATTTAATGTGTGGCTCACGCTGTTTTATGGTTGTTGCTTTTGTAACTCTGCATGATTACCACCAATTTTATCACACTCCACTCTTGAATTCATTTTAATGAAAAGCAGGCTAACAATTCCAATAGGTAGATAAATGTCATCAATTGTTTTCTATAATACAAAATTATAAGCAAACACAAGTGAGCAAAAAGCCCTTATGATGATACTTAATTATTCAAGTGGGAGGGATTTCTATCCTGAATAATGAAGTATTTTCCCATCAACTTTAGGCTAATCATCAGTGTAATGTGTTTAAGCAGTATTTTTAGGGATGTGAATTACTTCAGATCTGAAGCAAATAAATAAACAAACAAACAAATAAATAAATAAGAATAAAAGAAAAGGACTGGCCATGGGTATAATACATGGGTACTGGTAGATCCTTAACTCAAATGTGTATTTTACTTGGATTGCATAGTTACTGTTTTACCCCAGGAAAAGAAATACTGGTACTTTTCTTTAAACAAACATGTGTATACACTTATTGCTATTTTGTTATCACTTTTTCAGTTCTGGACATCAAGTACTGCCCATCCCTATGTTTTTCCTAATGGCTTAATCCAAAAATCCATCATCTTTATTATTATGCCATTGGGCATTAATATGCCTACAGATATGTCCCTTGGCACACAGATTTCCTGACATGTCTGAATTTTTAAAGCAACTTTTAAACAGATGAACAGTTGCTAAATTGATAGATGGACAGAAATGAAGCTGGACTATAATATTCTTATAGGCATAATTCAAAATATGACACAGATCTATAGATAATCTGAGAAAATGAAAGTAGGTGGTTGTTGCTCAGGGCTTTCTTTGTAAATGGGGAGATACTAGAAATGAGGTCAAGGAAAAAAATAGTAAAGATAAGCCACAATGGTAAAGAGCAACCTGTGTAGATAGCAGCTGGTGAAAATAATCCTCAGGCTGTGTTACAGTAACTCAGTGCTTTTTGACTGGCCATGTATCTTGTCAGTTATTCTGTGAACAGACAAATCCCACCAAACTTTATGCCTACTTCTGTCTAGCTGTTAACACTGGGAATATTATGAAACAAGTTAACTTTATTTGCAAATACCAAAGAATTGATTAGAAGGGTGTGACTAAAAACTATTCTTTACAATGTTTACACTTGCAAGTGTTTGACATTCTGATTTTCACTTTGTAGCCTATTTAGAAACACCAGTCATGCTGCACCAGTTATGCTCATTCCTGGATTGATAGGCTTTTGTCACAGTCAAGCCTTGGTTACTTTGTGGTTGGAATATGATAATGCTTTCTACATGGGCTGTCCTTGAAAAAAAAAGATAGATTCAGAATGTGGCAGCCCAAGCAGTGACAGGCAAGCCTCACTATGTCCACATGAAGCCCTTGCTGTGTTAGCTGAACTGGTTACCAATTGGTTTCTGAGGGCAATGCAGTGTTGGTTATTATAGGTATTCATTTAATTGACATTTGTTCAACAATTGTTTAAAGTTACCATGGCGCTGAACAAATGGCACCCTGGAAAGCTGTTAAATAAATAAATAATTTTCCAACACAATGACAGTGCTCCTAAACTGGGGAGCGAGGATGCCCAGACCACATAAATCCCCCCCCTATTTTTGGCAAGTACTGAACTAATAGACAGCTAATCAGTAGAAATGCTTAATTCAGTGTCTGAGATTGTGATACTGGTTCTCTCTAAAATGTAAAATTAAGATTATTTTATTTTGGAATAAGAGTGCAGGATCTTCAATTCCAGTAATATTCTAAGCTTTCAATTAATGGTTAGTTTAGCAATTACAATGATTGGGTGGAGTAAGAACATTGTAAAAGGAGTGGCAGAACCTGGGGGTGCGGTGTAAAAAGAGGGATCAGCCTAAAATCCCTAAATAGTTACAAGCAAAGTAAGTCCAACCCCCCCCCCCTTGAATTCCATTATGTAACCCCAAGCAGGTGCTAATCGTTAGATGAGAAAATTCCTGTGCAAAGGCATGATTAACGATAAATCAGTTTAATTGGACCTTCACATGTGGGCCTGATCTTTCACACCTGACAAAGATGCACTCAAAAATTCATAGCTATTTACAATAAGATTGATCCAAAATTGCAGTTTACTATTCTATGCAAACATGACTGCCCTTTTCAGAGACTGTATGCTCATTAATAGGTTTTATCATCTTAAGTAGTATATACTAACCTGTCAAGAATCTTTCTCTCTCTTTTCCACTCAAAGGCTTCTTAGATGTAGCTGCTTCATCTTCTACTGTTGCCACATAGTCTAAGAGTCTAGATACCAACATTACAACCCAGCTAATCATAGGAATGTCCAGAACGCCTTCAAAATAAGAGAATTTATTTAGGTAATTGTTAAGACAAAATATACTAACAGATTTTTTCCAGAATCTCAAAATATTTTACATATCTGTTTCTCTTCTCCTTACACAGAAAAACAGAAAAAAAGAGTGCTCAAACTTTGATGACCATGGGAAGAAATTATTTGTTCAACTACTTAGGAATAAATCTGAATACCTAAAATGAATGCTTTGAAATTAGATTCAGTCAAATTAATGTTCCATATGTATAACCAATAGATGGTAGCCAAGAGTTAAGGTTTTCTGTTAATTGTCTGTTTCCAGTTAATTGTGATTTGAATTGTAATTTACAATCCTGCAAAAAGCAGTTACACTAACAGTGTTGGACTGACTTTTTATAAAAAATCTAATATTATTTTAGAAATGTTTGGTACCTTCTGAGCATCTGTGGATCGGTATTTGAGGCTGAAGAGGAGACAAGAGATTATCCAAGAGATTCAACAAACTTTCTAAGACACCAGTGTTGCTGAGTGATCTTTGACCAATGCAAGAAAGCAACATGAAGACCCTAAATATAAAAAGTAAGTCATTTGAAAATATTCCTGGCTAATTAAATGAGTAGCAATACTTCACAAGAGAGAGGGAAAAAAAGCTGATCCTAGGAAATAAAACATTTATTTCCCTTTTGTTCTTTGGGCATAAAGAACTAAATCATACTGATAGCATTAAATATACAGATAAGAGATTTTTTTGCAGGTACATGACCGGCTATGTACAGTATATCAATATGCAGATCCCTATTATGAAATGAATACATTTCAACAACTTACAGACAGACGTAATTATGATTGTCTTCATTTATTACAACTGCAAATTGTTACAATTATTATAAGGCTTTCCCCCTCTTGCTTATCTTTCTATATTTTAATAATAAATAGACTGGATGCTGCTTGATGATATATTAAAAGTAATGTGAAAAGTACCTGTCTTGTGGAAAAATAAGGAGCTGCTCTGAATTATACAATTCTTGCAGGACATTTGAGAGAAACTGTCCCCACCATCTTTCACCTCCACATAGCTGAACCAGTAAAAGACCTGTGTGCAAACGTATTTTGGGAGTCCCACTAATACACAAGTGCTTGAATAATTCTTCACAGGCTTGAGCATTAAATGTACTTTGTAAAACCACAGGAACAGAGTGCCCTTAGAAAAAGAAATGAAGTATATTAGATTGCAAACAAAAAAAAAAATTCTATGCTTAGTTGATCGTGATTCTAGAAGTGAATACAGATTACATAAGTTTGTTTAAGATGTTATCTCAACAGTGACTATATTGCTAGTAGTCTCACAGGTTCCTATTGAATTAATTAATTAATTGAATTTCTATGCTGCCCATCTCATAATACAGCAACTTTGAGTGATTTACAATATAATAAAAAATTTAAAATGCCATCAGTCATTTAATTTAGAAGATTTAGAAACCTTTCATCTTCTATTTGTATGAAAAGGAGAATCACTAAAAAAACAGAACACATGGATACTTCTCTAAAAAATACAGAAGCTGGTTTTACACATCAAGATATACGGTAAAGCTCCCCCTCATCACACACACAGACACACACACACAGCCTTTCTTATCCCTGTAGACTAGACCTCCCTCAACTCATTAAGACTCACTACCAGAGATAGTATTCAACCTGTTTGCACCAGTTCAGGCGAACTGGTAGCAGTGATTTGGTGTGGGTCGCCTGGCTGGCCATGCCCCTGACCCGGTCACCCAGTCGCTCACTTGCCCTGGTCACTTTCCTAGCTTTCCCTGCCATGCGGAGGCCACGGCGCAGCTCGGGCAGATGTCCCACAGCTGCTGCACATGCGAACTGCTTGAGCAGCCGCTACACATGCAGTATGCATGTGCAGCAGCCCCAGGACATTCGCCCGCCTGCCCACCCTCCCAGAGCACTTTCTTCCTTTTCCTGGCGGACCCGCCTCTTCCAGTCCGGCCCGGCCCAGTTAGCCAGCAGGTGGGTGGGCAGATGTCCTGGGGCTTCTCACTCCCCTTATTGCAAGATGCCTGCTGCTGTTGCTGCGTGCTTTTTTTGGTGTGGCTGGAGTCCAGCCCCGGGGAGGCTTCTTGTGCCGGGCCCGGCAAGTCTGAGCAGCTGGCACATAGAACAGGGCAGCACTGGACCATTGGAGAAGCGGAGCGAAGCCGGAGATCAATAATTTTTGCTGCAAGATGCCTGTAACTGCTGCATGTTCTCCAGCCCCACTGAAAAAAGCACATGTGCCTGCCCATTGGAGAAGCGGAGCGGCAGCTAGAGGGTTCTCACGCCGAAAAAGGGGCAGCTGGAAGAGACTTCTTGCACTGAAAAAGGGGCGGTTGGAGGCTACTCTTTTTCAGTCTCCAGCCACCTCTTTCGTAGAGCAAGAAGTCTCCCCCAACTGGCCGGCTGCTTTCCTCCTCCTCGGCCATACAGAACAAACAGGCAGAGAAGGAGAACATCTGGCTGGTTGAGGGAGGCTTCTTGGGCCGAAAGAGGTGGCAGGAGACCGAAAAGGAGTCGCCTCCAGCTGCCTCTTTCGCAGCGCAAGAAGCTTTCCCCAACTGGCCGGCTGCTCTCCTCCTCCTCGGCCATACAGAAGAAACAGGCAGAGAAGAAGGAGACTTGGCAGGCAATTGCGCTGTTTAGTTGGGCTTTTTTTTTTTTGTCAGCCCAAGGGCGGGGGGGAAGGTACGTAGGAAATCACCCTGTCTCTACAGCATCAGTCATGTGATTGAGTGGGCATGGACAACTCAACGTTACTCGCAGCAAAGTGCTGTGCCACCTTGCCAAGTTGGCCATGCCCACCCAGTCACATGACCACCAAGCCATGGCCACCAAACAAGCCACACCCACAGAACCGGTAGTAAAAAATTTTGAATCCCACCACTGCTCACTACAGATTTCTTCACAGTTCCTAAATAAAGGCAGTTTAGGTATCACCAGAAAATATTTGGGCTGACGTGTGTTGGTAGAAATGAAACTGAATGACACATTCACATGAAATGAAATATGCTTATTGTTTTTTATTTTTATGTGGTCCTTTAAACTTAAATTTTATATTTTAATTAATTCTGCACTACTGCAAATTATCTGGAAGTCTCTTGACTGACATATCAAGAGAAAACAAGAACCCTGACTGTGAATATAATTTAGGACATTTCCCAGTTAAAAATGCTACACCATCAAATCCCACATATTTATATATCATAATCTGGAAGGTATTCTAAATATCAAGATGTTATTAAAAATGATGGCAGCTTGAAATAATTTCTTGCAATAGATAAGTTCTTAATACATATATTATTTTTGTTTCGAGTACTTTACAAACCTATCCTCTATGAAATGACCATTATCATAAATTTTCATGGCCTAACTTGACAGGTAGCCCTTGATTGACAACCATTTGTTCAGTGACTGAAATTGAAGGCACTGAAAAAAAGGACTTATGATCTTTTTTCAAATGACCAAGATTTGGAAATTGGCAACTGACATATATTTATGACAGCTGCAGTGTTCTAAGGTCATGGATCACTCTTTGCGACCTTCTCAAGCAAAGTTAATGGAGAAGCCATTTAACAACCGTAGGTATTAACTTAACAACTGCAGTGATTCACTTAGCAACTGTGACAAGAAAGATTGTAAAATGGGACAAAAAATTCACTTGACTGTCTTGCTTTGCAATGAGACTTTTGGTTTCAATTGCGGTCATAAATCAAGGATTACCTGTATAAAGAATTACAGCTGTGGAATATTTGTTAACATATACAGTGTATGTTAGTTGCGAAGAAAGAAGTGACCCAACATTATCCTATCTTTGTAATCACTAGCTAAGCCTTACTGCAACCCAAAGAATGAATAATAATACTTAGTTATCTCCCTTGGATCTCTTCCATTTATTTCATTCTCATTTTAGTACAACTGTCTGTGATACCTATTTTATTTCTATATTTTGTGGTAGATCAAGGATTTAGGCAGGGAGGAGGGATCAAAACACTAAGAATAACTAGGCTGACCAGAGCAAGGGTACTCTTGAGATGTACATTTTGTGGATATTCAAGATAGTGGACAGGAAATCTGAATTCCTCAGGTAAAACAATTCTTCAGCTACTGTAAATTTATAAAATTAAGAGACACAGTTGCTGAAGTTTTCAGATTAACCTTAATTTGACACTTTTTATAGTCTTACTCTCTTAACCTTTGTCTCATTCATTTAATCTGAAACATTCTACAAGGCTTCAAAATCTCCACTGACACTAACACATATATTTTCAGTATTGATAATAAAATAGCAAGCTTGCTATTTTATTAATAAAAATAATTGAGTTACCAACCATTGGAAGAATGGAGTAAACTAAGTAAAGTATCCAACAGATATCGGATAATTGTGCGCAACTGTTCCGTGGAGGACATCTGAATTAGTTCTTTAGGATCACTCTGTTCTTTCAGAATCTTCCTGCTTGCTCCTAGAGCTACTCTGAGCCTTTGTACAGCATGATGAGCCAAATTCAATTGAAGCTGTAGCTGAATGCAATCCTGATAAGCAGAAAATACTCGGCTGTCTTCCTCCACTGCCTTATCTGGCTTGCGTAAAAAATACTGAGCATTGTTAGCACTGTTCAGTGGTGGGAGGTCAATGCTTTGTAAAAGTGTTTCAAGTCTATGGCAAGCTAAATTATACCTGTAAGTGGAATAAGGAAAAAATGTCTTAATTATACATAAATTATTGAAAAGGATCCTAGGACATAAGAATATTTATACTTATACAGTTAAATAACAGTATTTTAAACAGGGCTAACATTTTGCTAACATTCAACAACTTGCATTATCTCACTAACACATCAACATCAACAAAACAACACAACAGAAACAACAATGCATTTTACCTGCACTGTATATCTTCCTGCAGTGCAATCATCATAGCTAAATGTTGATCAATTTCTGGCTGGTTTGCAGATTCAACTTCACCTCGCAAAGGATCGTGCATAATCTTCAGCTCGCTCTCTAAAGGCAAGATGTAAGTATGTCCATAGTAAAATCCTAAAGGAATTTTGGCTCTAGCATTTGTACTTCCGTAGCGACCAATGACCGTAATCTGAAACAGAAGACATGCAGCCTTTCCATGTCACTTCATTCTTTGAAAATAGGAAATATATTGTAAAACTGAGCATTACCTATTATGAATAACATTTACCATATTGAAATATATATTCATTAGAATATCTTATTTTTATTGAAAGAATTTTTACCTTCATGAATCGGCAAACTGGTGGTGGTATTAAATCATGCAGAATAAGAGAATGGGTGCTAATATCTGTAGCAACAACTAGCCTTCTTCCATCAACTTCTTCACCGAGTGTCCAAATATCAATTGATAAGGAAGCCAAATCCCCGCAAGTTGGAATCAATACATCTGTCAATAAGATGGGTCTGCCAAAGTCTAATGTCACAAATCTCCTTGCACCTTTGAACAGAAATAGTTTTGATGAAATGCCAATACAATGAACTCAGTCTGCCTTTGCTAGAAGGGCAGCCATAGCCCACAACTTAACAAACAGAACCCATGTTGTCAAAAATATTTAATTTTAACAAGGAAATATTTACAGTTTAGTTACTGCTGGCACAGTACAGATTATTCTGGAATTTATGGCTGAGACATCAATAGTTTTTTTCTACCCACATGCCTGTGTCTTTTGGTTTAGTTCAAACTGTAGCCAGAGAGATGTCAAAGTCATCTCTATGAACCTGAATCATGAATTATGTTTTTAAATGTAAGGTAAACATTAACTACACTCCCAATCCCTCTTCCTCTTATTTGAAGAATTACTAAGTTATTTAACAATTATTTCAAAATGGTGGGGGTTCACACAATACTCTTTTCACATTTTAACATAACATCTACATTTAATGTGCAAATCTTTTCAGCTAAAACAAAACAAAAAAATACTGACTTGCACCTATGGAAACATAGAGTTTCTGTATAATTCTAATCCATAGAGTTGTATAATAAATCATAGAAACATATGATTTATTATACAACTCTATGGATTTTTAAGAAGCTTCTAGGCTACATAGCAAGCTTCTGAAATTGAGGGAAATAGAAAAATCAATTCATTATAAAACACCAACTATAAGAGTATCAAAATCATCTTTTGGGCTTTGGTCATACCTATACAGTGGTACCTCAGTACCTGTCCTTAATTGGTTCCGGGAGGATGAGTACTAAACAAACCATGTGACTTACCACATGACTCTTTGTTTTGGCTGAGAAGGACTTCCTATCTGTCCCTTGTCAGTGACCTTCCCAGCATGGCTGACTTCCTGTCAGCCCTCTACAGCTATCCCCCCTTCCTTTTGCATCACATCCAGTACCAAACAAATGATGAGTATCAGGGATAACGTTTTCATGTCAAAATGCGTCAGTTTTGGAGCAGTCGAGTACCAAGATACCACTGTACCGGCTTTGGAATCTAGTTATTATATTAGCTATTCAAAGCAAATTAACTTAGAAAGAATTAACCTACAAACTACTATTTTACCTGAATGCATTCGCTCTATAATGATAGATTGATGAGGAGGTGGCTGAAGAAAATGTGAAGCATGAGATATTGCAAGAGCAAGGCCAGTTCCAAGTGGATTCTGAAAGGAAAAAGAAAACCTGATCAATATATAAATACATTGTATTTGGCATAAGTAACTTGCTACTGCACATGCAAAAGTAAAAAAGAGCAGACTGAAAACTCAAGGTTGAAAAACTGATCACTCATATTGTATACGGATTAGTTTTTAAGCATACCAATGGAAAAGTCCAAAGCATTAACAAGCTATTTGCACTAGCTTCCTTATATGGAATGTAGGTTTAATAAATTTGGGACTATTGTATAAGAGGTTTTAACAAAACTCCCTGTCAAAATATACTCTCAACACTTAGATAAAAGGCAAACTACCAAGCAGTCAAAATAGTTCCTGTCATTAATGATCTTTAGATTGGAATTTTATGAAAGCTTTTTTTCTTTTTTCTTTTTCTTTAGTTACCGTTTTGGACTTGTGTGCATTTTTGTTGTGTACAGAAAGGTTAACTGGAGGAGGATCAATGACTGAACCCGGAAAAAGCTGTGCAAGCTCTGCATTGATAACAGCAGAAACTGCCTCATTAGGTGGTGTAAGAGGCGGAGTCATGAACAGGGGGGTTGTTTTAGGAGTGGGTGGGATGACATCCGACGGATGAATGAAGAACCCTGGGGCTGCTACTGAGTTGGAAGGCACAGAGTTGTGAACAGGACCAACTGCTGATGCTGCTGCAGCAGCTGCTGCTGTTGTCTGATGTAGTTTGGCTTCCAGCTTTGCTTTCTGCAGGGGAAATAAAAGCAGCATATGTACTGTCGGCTGGTGCTGCCCATGAAGGCAGTAGCAATTAAAAGCATTAGCAATAAGCAGCATGAACAAAACAAACAAAAAAGCAAATAGCTTCAGCTTTCATTTCACACACCAAAGGTTTTTTACCAAAGGAATGCAAAAAGGAGCACAAAAAAGTGAATAACAGTGCAAGAAATGAAAGTAGAACACTTCAAAACTCACCGAATTTTTTTTTCACTGAACTCGTCTCTTAGAGAGATAACCTGTTGCATAAACCATGCAAGCTAAAGTTGTCCAGTGCAGCCCAATTGACTTAAATATATTTGGTATTTAATAGAATATTATATCTAAGAATGCATGAGACTGAAAACTTAAATCTAAATTTAATCAGTCCTTAGTTCACACATTTGTAAACATCTAGGAACCCATTATGTTCAATGGGACAACAGATGTATATCCTTCCACTATGAATACAACCTGAAATTCTTATATTATGTGCCCCTGATTGTGATGGTTCTTTCATATTAAAAAAGGTTTTTAATTTTTTTTGCATATTCAGGGAAGTTCCATTTTAATGGACTACTCGGTGTAGGAATGTGCATTACTCATAAAAATCTGTTATATACAAAAGCATGTCATTGCACCATATGATCTAAGTCAAGACAGATATCATAAAATTAATGTAAATTTAAATGCTTCATCCAGGTTGCTTCAGATGCAAAGGATTTTCTAAAGATGTTAAGACTGAAATTTGCTAACGGAAGATCTCTTGAGTTTTGAGCTTGACAAGCACAGATTAGAATGGTTAAGATGGACTGCAGCTAATCACACTTTAGAAGAAATAAAATGTAACTCTGTATCTTTTCCTGAGTGCAATGAAAAGAAGTTTCTGTTTTTAAGGCTCTTAATCAAACAGCAACATATTTATTTCTGTTGAAAGAAATCCAACTACATTTTCCGTATTTTCACATTTTTTTCATAATCCAAAATAAGTGTGTTTTTTTTAAATGGAACCATAACATATATAAGAAAGGTTTTTCTGCACCAATAAAAAACCCATGTGCACTTTCAAGATCAGAATGTTTGTTACATTCTAACCTATTTCTAAAGATGTACTTTTGATAGTTATGCCTGATTTCTTTTTCCCTTTCTCTCTCTCTCACAAATAAGAGAGATTTTCTGCAATTAAGGGAACCATTCTCTCAGCTTTTGAAGTTTAGAGACATCATGAAAGAGATGGCCTCCAACCTGTTGCTGAAGCTTCAAAAGCTGCTGCTGTTTCTCTTGAAGCACCTGGAGCTGCTGCTCGGCTGAGGCCATTGCATGAGAGAGAGACTGCAAAGCTACCTGGGCTGCTGAACTCAGGGCTGTCGAGGCTTCCCCTACTGTCCCAGATGAGAGGCCTCCAACTGCTGGGGTAACCCCAAAGGTACTCACTGGCATGAAACAAAGGAACAAAAGAAAAAGACACGTATGAAGAAAGGCAAGACACAAAGTGAACTTGAAAACAGTACAGTTTGGGCAATAAATAAGAAACCAATCTCAAAAGAAAGAAAAAAGTCACAAAACAACCTAATTTTTAATAGAACTTTGATTCAACATTCATGGTGCAAATAGGGAAATCAAAATATCGGTTTCCAAGGCAGGCAGATTTTTCTCATCGTTAAATTAAACCCTGAAATATGTGATTAATTACAATGTGTTAATACCCTTTGTTCAGAGGTGATATTCAGCAGGTTCTGACCAGTTCTGGAGAACTGATAGCAGAAATTTTGAGTAGTTCAGAGAACCGGCAAATACCACCTCTGATTGGCCCTGCCCCCATCTATTCTCTGCCTCCCGAGTCCCAGTTGATCTGCCGGGTCTTCTTTAGTTGCCCTGCACAGGAGAACGGAGCTGGAGAGCCGGTTACTAGGGTGGGGACGGAATGGGATTTTGCAGTAACCTTCCCCCTGGAGGGAGGTAGGAATGGAGATTTTGCAGTATCCTTCCCCTGCCACACCCACCAAGCCACGCTCACCAAGCCATACCACGCCCACAGAACCAATAGTAAAAAATTTTTTGAATCCCACCACTGCCTTTATTTAACAATTAATACCTCAAATTCATTGTAAGTTTCTTATTGGAAAGATTATTTCAGACTACTAATACAGTTTGATTTACATAGAAAAAAGTAATAAAATATATATACCAGTAAACGTACTTGCATCGTCCCTTTCTATTCTTGTTCCATCACTAGTTGAAACACAAGTAAAGTGTAGAGGTTCAACTTCTAAAAGTCCAGTGAGGGAAGTAAAACTACCTTCGGCTGCTGTACAATTACTGATTTTTCCATTCCCTGAATTGGGAAAAAATAATATAATTCAGTTTACTCATATGGTAACTAGAAATAACTTGTGATTTTTATTGCTATCATGCATGTAAAATGAGGAGAGAAGAAAAGATAAATAACTAAGTACCCAATCCAAACCAAGAAACCCTATGTATGTAATTAACACATATAAGAGAAATATATAACTTGTAAATCTCAATCCTTGCTTCTTCCATATCTCAGTACAACTCATATGGCATGAAAACACAAAGAAACCACAGCAGAAAGAAATGCCATAGAAAAATCAGCAACTCCTACTCTCCTTTTAAGTTAAAATGACTTCCACGCACAATTGGATCCTTTATTCAAAATTCTAAAACAATTTAATATATCCATTTGCATGATTGGTCAAAACCAAACCAAATCAGGGATTATTTTTTTTTGAAGAATGAACTGGGATTCAGCTCAAACTTCCTCTGAAAATGGAGGGGAAAGAATCGTCTCCAATTTTCCTATAGTCCTAACTTCTTTTATTCTGTTTCTAAGAATGCAGCAACCAGGGGTTTGCACAAAACAAGGAATAGATTTTGCTTCAAGATAACTCAACATTCTGTCAGAATGTTCCATTGGAATTAAACTCAAAGCAACTGGAATCTTTTGCTCTGATATAAAAAACAAAATTTGTTTTTCTTGGGAAATTCCAAATACCAATTTTAAAATTGTTTCCTCTGATCAGAACATTCAGAACAATGCCACTAAAACCAGTCCAACTATTTGTTCTGATCTCAGAATATTCAAAATTGTCATACTGATAAAAAAAATATATACATATTCCTAGAGACCTCAAGACGAATTCCTAAAGAAACTCAAAATTGCCCTGCCTTGGTTCTCTTGGGTATAAGATGAGAGACAAAGGAACTCTGCCAAGTTTTTAAGATTTGGTTATTATATTCTGCGCTAGCAGAGTTCCAGATGTCTATAGATTCTGTATTCCACCCTGATCTATCTCAAAGGCTAATATAATATGAAGAAATAACCATTTCCTTCTGGCAATGCAACTCTGCTGAAAACAAAATAAGTTCAGCCTATTTTGAGGTTGATTTTCTTCAATGACAAATCACAACATGAAGATTATATAACCATGTTGTTGCCAAAAGCAAACAATATTGACTATAAAAAAACCTTTCAACTCACAGTTACAAGTGGATACATAGGCTTACCTGAGAGAACATCAGATAAATCAATTTCATCTGACTGAACGCCAATGCTGCTATTATATATATTCTTACAAGAAGAACCACTCATTTCCAAATCAAAGAGCACCGGATCAAAAGGTGAACTATATAATCCATACCTGAAAAAACAATGTAATGCAAGATACTAGGCAATGTGAAGAATTTGGTTAATGAGATAAAATCAATCAAATATATAGTTTTAAGGATATGAATGAATAATTACTATTAAAACTATTAAATATTTTTCTCAAAGCTTTAGCATTTTAAGAAACAAGAAACTGATATAATAATAATAATAATAATAATAATAATAATAATAATAATAATAATAATAATAATAATAATAATAATAATACTTTATTTGCAGTCACAGACCAAAACACAAGTACAACAAAAGAAGAACATGGGAAAATTAGTCATGAACAATTGGTCACCAAAAACTTGACTAAGGGGAATTACAGCGTTCTCCTCTGATGGTTACAGATCTTTAAAAAAATTGGAAACCTGAGAAGTGATGTATGAGGAGCCATCCCCTAGACAATATAAGAACAAATTACTAACAGTGGGTCTAGAAGGGTCTGTTTCAAGGAGAGACAGTAACTTGAATCTGCCTGCGTTATACATAGGGCAATATAAAAGGACATGCTCCACAGTTTCAACCTCAGCTCTGTCACAGAGTAGGAAACTGATATTACCATCAAGTATATTCAGCAAATTGTTATTTAAAAACAATGCAAACATAAAACAACATGCCTAATATTACTTATTTCAAATACAAAGAATAAATGCTAAAAATATGAGTTTAAAAAGTTCACCACAAGGGGTTCAAAAGGAAGCAGTTACGGGTGTTGCTTGGTACATGTAATACATGTAATGCTTCATGTTAATACCTCTTCTTTGCAAGCTACAGTTCATTAGTTACCAGTGGGCTTTGGGGTATAAGCAAAGATGCTGGTTGTCATTAACAAAGACTGTGGTACAAGATCTGAGTATTTGCAGGATTGTCTCTTCCAATTATCTCTGCCTGTCCTGTAAGGGACCTGACAGTGCACACATACTTCAGCTACTGTATATTAAACCATGTCATACCCATGACATAGGCCTTCCATGTCATTGCACTGCCTTTTGAAGCAGCAATTCCTCCCAAGAAAGCCTTAAATAGCTGGCTTGTAACATAGGCATTGAGCTAGGATATTTTTATTTTTATTTTTATTTATCAAATTTAGAGACTGCCCAACTCTCTCTAATTATATGATGCCACTTCTGACAATTCTGCTTAATTGCTGTGTCTCTCCCCCTCCACCATAGCTGTTTTATTATTGTTCTTAACTAACTGATATTTCATTTTAATCCTTTATAAGCACCCATGGTTGATGTGTGGGTAACCTTAGTAATTGAATGAATAAAAAGTGATGCAGTTTTCCCCTTGTTACCTTGTTTGAAGGAGTGCTTCCATGGGTGTTAATCGGTCCTGTAATTGTCTAGAGACTGCAGTTAACAGGGAAGCACAAGTAGTACTGCAGCCAGCTAAATCTTCATCCTTTACGTAATTCAGCAAAACAAAATACCAATACATAGAACCTAAAAGGAACACATATAGATAGATGTTCAGCCTTAAGAAGATAGAAAAGCAATCTTTAACTATATGTTTACAGACACCTACAAAATCCATTCAATAAAATTCTATGGAGATTCTTAGTCATCCAGGTCATGGTTGTCTAAAAGGTGCGTTTTCAGGAGGCAATTGGACTTTCTTTTCTTTTTTCTTTTTTTCTTTGAAGACGTTTCGCTTTTCATCCAATAAGCTTTTTCAGCTCTGATTGGATGGTGGGGAATGGAAAGATTTATATTCCTTGCAGAAAACTGGTCATTTGCATTCTTTTAGAGAAACGTTTTCAAAGAAAAAAGAAAGAAAGAAAGTCGAGTTGTCTCCTGAAAAAAACACCTTTGGGAAAACCATGACCTGGATGACTGAGAATCTCCATAGACTTTTAGCTATGCACTTTGGGATGAAATGCTGTGGGAGAATGAACGGATTTCCAGAACAATTGCAGACTACAGGAACCTTTTGCACTTCAGTCTGAGATGCAGACAACACAGACTCGTCCCCAACAGCCTGCTCCTGTGTTCAACAGTGAAGGGATACAGGGCAGAAAACATCCTGCAGCCAAGAAGGCTCCACACCCATTTGCACTACTCAGGTGACCCAGAGGGCACAGATAAACCTTCAAGTGGCCTCAATTACTCTTTAAAAGAATGCAAATAACCAGCTGTCTTGCATGGAATATAAATCCTTCCATTCCCCACCCATCCAGTCAGAGCTGAAGAAGCTTCTTGGATGAGAAGCAAAACTTATTCAAAGAAAAAAAAAGGAAGAAAGTCCAGTTGCCTCCTGAGAAAAAGCACCTTTGGGACATTCAATAAAATATTCCTTTAATCAATGTTAACTGATTGTGGTAAGTTTGCACTGATACCTGCTCAGGCAGTATTCCTAGGTTATATTACTCTGGATGTATGTTTATAACATTAACATACATACAGCGTGGAATTGACTAATAAGTGAAATACAAGATTAGTATTAAGACAGAAAAGAACATCAAACAAAGAAAAACAGATAGAAAGTATCAGAAGAAATCAATTTTGATTCCAAAAACAAAAACCTTAATCTTACCTCCAGTCGCAGCTGCAGGTAAATAAGATATATTGCCAAGCAAAGCCTTCAGAAGGACCGAGCTAAATCCTTGATGACTTGGTTCAAATTTCCCATTACTACAAAAATATAATAATTTTATTTTAATATTTTATTTTGTTTACCGGCAAATATTATTCAGATTTTTTTTTACATCCATAGGTCTCAGCAGATAAAGAGCTTAATCAATGTGCAATCCAATCTCCATCTATCTAGAAATACTAAATTTGATGGAAATGGCTCCCATAGACACAGGATTGAGCTACAAAATGTTACTTTTCTCTATAAAAGATCACCTATGTTAACATTTTACATCATGTTAGCTAGAATATTCAAGTAAAAGAAAACTTTAAGCTGAAAAAAACACCAAGTAACATAATTACCTTATGCAAAGAGCTAGAAATCGTGCACATTTATGTGCTATGCTTCGTCCGGCTTCAAAAAAGCATACTCGAATTATGTGGAAAAGACATGTCCTTGTTTTAGACAACAAGCTCTCATTGGTTTCTCTTGAACTGAAACATTAAAAACAAAAGCAGACTTTACAACCCAATCATTACTTTTGAGTACATTTCTAACAAAGGTAAGAAATTTGTTAAGGAGCTCCTTTATTTATTTATTTATTTACCTCCCTGGTCCATTGGATTGAACTCCTGCTAGCCAACACAGGATATCTAATACAAGACTTTGAGCATGTTCTGTCACAACTCCATCTTCTGCTTTTTTGCAAAGGCTGTTAAGAAGTCTTTCGTGAAATTCCGAAAACTGTAACATGGCACACCTTTGAACTCTAGAAAAGAAATAATATTCAATAAGAAAGAAAGAAGTAAATCAGTGAACTGGGGGTAAACTACTACTTCTTTTTTTATAGCAGTGCTAAGGTTTTTGAAGAAGGAAGAAAAGAAGCTTAGGGTTTCTCTCTAATGTGGTTTTAAAAAGTCCTGAAACTGTTTTTTACCTCTTAGATTTGAAATTCAAAACTTGTCTTATTATAGAAATCCATGTTATTTAAACAACCCACTAAAACAACTCTTAATTACATAGGGGTAATGCTCAACTTACAACCATTTGTTCAGCAATCGTAATTATGATGGTGCTGGAAAAATGGACTTACGATCCACGCCCAAAGTTACAGCTTTTGCAACGTCCCTGGGTGTCACTGTATCAAAATTGGCAGCCCACCCGCATTTATGACTGCATGGGGACTGCAAATCTGCCCTGGATGGCTGCAAATCTGCCTTACGTGGGTGGGGGGGAGTTGCTACAGTCCTGCAATCATAAACACTGCTAGGCTGGGTGGAGAAGCTGAGGCTTCTAGGGGCACCTGTGGTTTTGCATCAAATTGCAGCACCCCAACTCACTACACCGAGCCTTCCCCACTTCCATGGTATCTCCGCACTTCCTCCACTTACCAACCCATGATTCTTGGGTGATGGTAGCCAGGAGCGCTGGGACTGCTAAGTAAAGTGAGTACACTGCTTAGTAACTGAAATTCTGAACCCAATTGTGACCATAAGTTGAAGACTACTTGTAACTTGAAGATGACTATGACCATTAAGTTTGTGTTCTAGTTCAATGGGGAAAAGAAGCTAGGGTAGAAAATCTTAAGTGTGTTTTTCTGTTACTATTTTACAAACGCTTACTTTTCTAAAGGTTTTGTTTTCACCAAAACATTATATTACACAGCTAGTCCTCAACTTACAACCTTTCCTTTTGTAACTCTTTGAAATCATAATGGCATTGAAAAAAATGACTTATGACTTATAGTTTTTACACTTACAACCATTGCAGCATCCCCATGGTCATGTGATAAAAATTCAGGCTCTTGACAACTGGCATGTATTTAATGACAGCTGCCATGTCTCAGGGTCATATGTAATTTGTAACCTTTCTAGCTGGCTTCCAACAAGCAAAGTCAATGGGAGGGGAGCCAAATTCATTTAACAACTGCATGATTCAATTAACAACTGCAGTGATTTGCATAACTGGCAAAAAGGTCCTAAAACAGGGCACAATTCACTAAACTGTCTTGCTTAGCAATGGAAATTTAGGCTCCATTTTGGTCATAAGTCAAAGACCACTATAGAATGAGCCAGATTAGTAATTAAGGTGCTGGATTAGGAGCAGGACATTCTGATTTTTAGTCCTGTTTTAAGCATAAAAGCCAGCTGAGTCACTTTGAGTCAGTCACTCTGTCTCAGCTGCAGAAAAAAGATACCAGCAAACAACTATTAAAAATGTTGTCTATAAAACTGCATGGACTTGTAAGTAGAGTTGTCAAATCTGACTTGAGGGGAAAAAAGTTTAAGATGTGCCATGTAATTTTTAATTATTTTAATTAAATCTAAATTAAACAGTTAAACATTAAAGCTTTATTTTTATATTCAATAACTATAGTTATAACTATAGTTAGCTATCTTATATATTATTGTTTTAGATATTATTGTTTTAGATACAATGTAGCTCAATATAATAATATCAATATAATAATACAATATAATAATACATTAACCTACATTCTTTTTGAATGCATGTTTAAAAATGTATTTATGAAATATACACACTGATAACCAACTAACCTTTCCTTTGAAATAGATGTTTTTTTAAATCTTCTAATTGTTACGGAGACTTCTTGTAGCAAATCACATCCTCGTAGGTTGTCAGATTTCCGTGAGGAAGTACTGGTTTCTGCTTTATTAGAAGACTTGTCCTGTTATTAAAAAACAACTCATGTATTTGAAAAGTCATACTCTGCATACATATAAGTATGTTTCACTTTGCCAGATTATGAAATTTACTTACATTATTATCCTCTAATACCAAAACAGATTTTCTCAGAATTTAAAAATCTTGCATTATACAGAAATTTGAAACATCAATATACATGTTTTACTATGTTTCTCAATATGTAAGCATATTATATATTACAATGTTCTTAATAATGCAAGCATGAAGATAGAACTATCAAAAATTAAAGAAAAGAGTGAGAGAGAGAAATTAGTATGTTGCTTATTTTATCAACTATATATGAGAAAATGACTAGAAAACAATAGTGATATTATCAAAAAAAATGTCCCAAATTCTACATGTTAGGTCTGCATATCATTTTAAACTAGGTTCAGCAGTTAAGCATATTGTAAGGAATATCAGATTCTGAAAAGTATAATCATAATATTTGTATGTCATGCTAAGCATGTCCGTGTATTGTGAACTGATTGCAATAGGCTCCTGCATTTGTCTCCTAACAAGATGGCTTTAGATGACTGATTAAAGGAAAATAATTTTGACCATTCTTTGTCTATATATCATTTAAATACCTTGCCTGCTGCAACTTTTGCTAAAAGTGATGCAAGTGAATGTCCCTTGTTATTTTGAGGTTTCAGAGATGGTATCCTTAAAACAGGCCAGATTCCTCCATTGCAGACTTCCTCTGTTACTCTGTCATTTACAGCCTTCACATGGATTAAAAATGAACGGTATTTGCCACCTGCCATGCCTAGAATAAAACAGACAGTCATAAGAAAAATAAATTAATTCTTGAAAACTTGTTATGCATGCTTACATTAGAAACAGTTATCAGCCAACTTTTTACCACAAAAACATTCACATTTTAAATGTCAGGAATCAATTCTAAATATCAGGCCTGTATTTGATCATTTAAAAAAAACCAAACAAACACATTTTAGATTTCGTCCCCCCAAATATTCTGTCAAGAGTATTACCTTTAACAAGCTTTGGACTTGTGAGTGTCAACATTCCAGCATGTCCGGATAAATCAAGTCCAGTAGCCAACCATATAGGTCCACACAAAATATCTTCTTTATGATCCTCTAAAAAGGGACATAGCCGAAAGCCTTTAAAAAATATAAAAAAGGAAAATTACACTGATCATAGCAAACGTTATACATATATACATATACATATGCATATATGCATACATACATACATATGTTGAGGTAATTCCCCGTTAGGCGAATGAGCGCATACAGGGAGACGTATTGAGAGAAGTGTTTGAATAATACACACACAGCACACAGATACACTATACGGTAAATGTAGGTTTTTACTTCCAGAAACGTTTAAGCACAGTTCAAAATAAGCAGTCCAAAGTCATTCACAGGTTAAATCAGTCAGTTTTCAGTCCAGGGATAATCCAATAACAAAGTCCAGTGTCAAAAACAGTTCAGTATCAGACTTACATCAAATCCAAGAATATCAGTCAATTAGGAGGAACGGCAATACTCTCCAACAGAAGGATACAGAGACTCACTGAGACACACTCTCTTCTGAGACTAAGACAAAGACTAAACAACCCCGGTTTCTGGCTCCATCTTATGGCCGTTTGAGAAACCACACCCAATTACAATTTTTGCATTTTCTTAAAGATACAGTATTAAAATGTTTATCCAGGTTTATATATTTCCAACCCAAATAGCTGTTAGGTGACTTACATTCCTAACAACATACATACATACATACATACATACATACATACATACATACATACATATATCAAATAATTCTTTTAAAATAATAACATTGAAAGTAGGATATATTCTTGAAAAGACAACTCTTGTCTCATTTTGCTTTTCTATTTAATGAGATTTTTTAAAATCTATCAATTTAAAAGAAAAGCATTCATTTCTATTTTTCTTTTCATAATTCATTATAAACAGAACTGTCTTCAGTACTTCCAACATTGTAGTATAGAATGTTATGCTGTCAAATGTCTCTTTTAAATTTATCATTTATGAGCCTAATGATTTTAGAAAGTTACTTCTGTTACACTGACTACAAAATTAACACATTTGTTGTCGCCAATGTTAGCATACCAAGTGGCCTTTTATTCAAATTTTAATGCCTGCATGATTATTTTTAAAGATCTAGACATTCAGTTTTTTCAATGTTCATTAATTTAATGTAAAATTATATTAAACTAAGATCTCCCTGGAACATTAGCATTTAAAAGAAGTGGATGATTTCATCTATTCCCTCCTCTAACTACACATCCAAATTGCAATTATTAAAGTACTAATAACAGAAATTCTTCATGCATCAGTATAATAAAGAAATATAAAGCTAAAGGACAATATGTGCAAAAGTTTATTTCTAGAATTTCATTGTTGTTGCGCTGGTTTCTTGTGATTATGTAGCAATTCATCAGGACTTGCATTCTTTTCAATGGGGGGGACACAAAGAATTATAATAATATAAAAGGACAAGTCTGTCAGAGGAAATCATACTTCAAAGTTACCAACTTATCAAGCAAAAATAGGAAGTAAAACTTGGTGGCACTTGCAATCTGACTATTGAGATTCCTTCCTGGATTGTTTTCAAGGAACCAATAAGACCTTTCCATTCTTTTGATTTTCTGAGTTACAATAATTTCTGATGGTTCTTTCAGGAAAATAGCGGCACCTGAATGAATTGTTTATGGAAGGATTACTGAAACTCCAGTATTTGATTACCAACTCTAATTACCAGAATGAATGTACAGTATTAAGTTCATTCTAATAAATTCATTCATATTTGAATGAATGAGGTAAAGCAGATTTTAGTCAGTAAAACCAGTAGTAAGCAGGATCCCAGGATAAGAGAAACTGTTTATTTAGTTAGTTCATTATGATTTATATAATATATACAGCCACTGTTCTCACAATTGTAATTCTAAATGATAAATACAGGGTTAAAACCAGAACAATATAATACAATAAATAAATTAACTAAATGAATATCTTAGCAAAAAACATCTTAAATAATAATGGAACATACTTCCATTGTATGGGCCTAAAACCATTCCTTTTCAATCAGTAATGACAAGCACTAGGGGAAACTACTAATGAAACACAGAAGCAAAAGTTCACTAGACTTCCTTCTAAAACTTATCTAGCAAACTTCTATGTGGCAAATCTGTTTAAAAGAATATTATACTTCAGCAAAACTCACACTGTGACTCTTCTACATCCATGTTTTGCATTTCTTCATTCAAATCATCCAGCCCTGTTTTTCCATTTCTTTCCATTTCATGATGAGTTGGTGACAGAGGAAAAGTTATCTGTCTATCTACAGCTGCTTCTGGGGAACAAGCACATAGGAAAAAAACACTTTTACATTTTTTGAACAGCACAATCTCTTTTGGAACATAGTTTTATTATATAATATGTTGTGGATGTGTTATACAACTGTGTTTAAATATTTTAAAACTATCATGAACTTTGAAACAATTGGTGCTTGAAATTTCTTGGCTTTTGAGTGGTACATCAAACCTATGCTGTAAGAATGAAGAATAAAATAGATTTTATTACTATTAATATTATCACCAATGCTATTATGATATTGATAAGAGTGTGGGCGTGTGGGGCAATTATTACATTGTTAAATCTGAGAAATGGGAATTGCCACATTATCCTCAAATTTTCCTGCAACACAAAGAAAAAGTATCAAAATCAAAATTAACATTTATAGCATTTCCTCATTCTTAAAACAAGCAAAAGTATTTATTGAAGAAGATGCTATCTCATTTTGACATGTCGTGATACCTACTGTTCACCATGGAACACTGTTCAACCATTATATTTCATTTCATTTGACATTGCTTTAAACATGTTCAAGTTACTAATGATTTAATAATGCCATTTTGAAATATATAAATATTACTGAAAACAAATTGTTCAGTTATTTTCTTACCATTGACTTTTCCTAAGCCTGGAGCTTTATTTTTCAATAAAGTCACTTGAATCTGTGGAATGTTTGTGATACTTGAATTCAAAACAAATTTGAAATCCACATGTCCAACCATACAAGCCTTTGGCAAAACCAGTTCAAAAACATGTTCATCCCAGCTGTTACTACAAAGAAAATAGATGGAGGAAGAAAATGATGTTCAATGAGATAAAGAGCTCCAATTTATTTTTATCTATACAATAAGAAAATATGAATGTTTACAACTTTTCCATTTTTCTATTTTAGTATGATCCTAATTTGTAGATGTAAGATGCATTAACATTTTCAAGTTGAAATAACTTTAGGAATGTATAGAACATTTTGAATTTGCACTGATTTTGAATTAAAATGCCCCATTTCAAGTATTTTACACAGCATGCTTAACTGTAAAATGGTCTGATCATTTTGCAAATGTTAAAAAAGTATCTTAAACTCAGAACACTTTTAAAATGAAAAGCAATATGCTGGCATACATGACAGGACATTTTGTGTTGAGATGATTCAAATTTGAAATGTTTCTACACCTCTAGGACATTGTTCTTCTATATAGATGTAGACTACCTGAAATTTCTGGATTTAAAACCAATTTATAGAATGCATCAACTTCCAATCTTTACATGTAATATAATACAAATGAGAACCAGTTTATTCTATTGGCTAAGGCACCAGGCTAGAAACCAGGAAACTGTGAGTTCTAGTCCCACCTTAGGTATGAAATCTGGCTGGTGACTTTGGCCTACCCTAAGTCCAACTCATCTCACAGGATTGTTGTTGTGGGGAAAACTGAAGGAGGAAGCAGTATTAGATATATTTGCAAGTGTGAGTTACTTATAAAAATAATAAAGGAGGGATTAAAAAAATAATAAATATAAAAGGCTCCTACTAGGGAATTCTATTTATAACTCAAGATATCAGGAGATTCAATGTTTAAATAAAGTAGGGAGGTAAATGTTTTATCAAAAATTATTTACCTATCAGTTTGCAATTTCCAAGTCCGGGTATGTTGAGCTGCATCTCCATGATGCTGCTGGTGCAAGTGTTGTGGATGTCGCCTTTGTTGCTGTTCTTGTTGCACTTCAACCCAGCATGGTGGAACTGTAGCTGAGAATCGTGGCGTCAACGTTTCAAAACGAGTAAGCTCTACTAAAGACGTCAAAGTTTCAAGCGAGAATGGCTGGTCCACCAGAAGATCAACTCCTGTTTTTTAATTATAAAGTAAAAAGATTTTTAAAAATATTTAATCACAAAAAAATCAGTAGTTCCCACAAGAAGCTACAGCACTTTTTAAAATATTTAATTTGTCCTTTAGTTCAGCTACACTAAAACTAAATATACACACACATATTTCATGGCATCACGTTTCCATGCATGTTATGTTACAGAGCCTCTAGCTGGCATTTAGAAATAGAACTGATTAGCCATCTGTTGCTGGGGAAAAACAATATATGAACATTCTGGTTCAAGTTTCAATATTTACTTGAGTTTGGAAAGCATATTTCTGCAAAAGTAACAAACATAAAACGGATGAGAATTCTTGCAGCAGGCAGGCAAAATATAACCAAAAAAATTAAGCATACTGCTTATTTATGACTTTATAATGGTACTGTATTGTGTTTCTTCAATTCAATAGTATACCTTCTGAAAATATGAATGTAAGATTGAAGACTTACCTGTAATGCCTGGACTTGAAGGATTAGATAAAGGCTTGGTACCTTCCGTTAATTGCTCCGTCACTTTAGACAGAGATGCATCCACAAGAATATCAGCTTCATCAACATCATCACAAGTTCCTCCAATCTGGAGAAAATGAAGTTCTCCACCTAAAAGAAAGAGTTGAGAATTTAAATGGAAGTCCACAACAGTCCAAATTAAGCATATGCATGAACCAACTCATTTTGACAAAATGCTTCAATGGGGGGGTATTTTCTTGAGTGAGACAAGTTTACTTCAAATCAGGTTTTGAGAATGTTGTATAGGGATGATCTTTCTTAAGAAAATGGAGGAATTGTGATTCTTCTGACTCCCCTGGGTCAAGTTTTGATGAGCTGTTCTTGGAATACCACTGGCAGCAATTCCATTGTCACTTGGATTGTCAGTTCTCATGGTGCTCAAGAACTTTTGTTCATTTCCTTGGACATTCATTCCTTCAGGTTACCAGATGATTGTTTTCCTCCTAATCTACTTAATATCTATATAAAACACTACGAGAGTTATGCAGAGGTACATTCTGAGATATCAACAAAAGATGATGCCTAGCTCCACCTCTATTTTCTAATAATTTCAGATGAGCCCCTGGGTATCCAGAAGAAACACATTAAAACAATGGTCTAAAAGATGAAAATAATACTTAATCCATATAGTGGAGGATTACTTGGCTGTCCAACTAAGTGGAATTCAACACAATCTTAAAAAGCCTCTTACTTAAGCGTGCTTTTAGATTCCTTGTTGCTAGGATGGTTTGTTCTAACTTTTGCTAGCTCTTAACAGTCCTTATATCCAGAGCTGACTTGGTAAAGGAACTAGAAACTTAAAACCAGTTCAAAATAGAACAGCATGATTGATAGCAAGAATATATAATCTATACTGATTATAATCTATATTTTATAATTTACTGTCTACTTCCGGTCCCAAATCAGCGTGTTGATAAAGTATCAAAAATATAATAAAAATCACAAACAATTTAGGAATAGGTTAATTGAGGAATCTTTCTGAATAGAGCATGCTCAGATTTTAAAATCATCTTCAGAAAACCTTTGCTAGGTTTTCATTCTAAATAAGGAAAGATGACAAATATGAGAAGAACAGTTTTTTCAGGATTGGTCATTTCCTGTCATTCACTTTATTTTTTACAGTACAGTACTATCATTCTCTAAGTTGCTCTAGTTTCTATTTTAGTCTGTCTTCTTTTCTATATTTATTTTTAATCTATATATCAGGTAATTTTTCTTTTTATTAGAAATGTGGTGGCGCAGTGGTTAGATTGCAGTACTGCAGGCTACTACTGTTGCAGCCAGCTGCTTGCAATTTGGCAGATCGAACCTCACCAGGCTCAAGGTTGACTCAGCCTTCCATTCTTCCGAGTGGGTAAAATGAGGACCCAAATTGTTGGGGGCAATATGCTGACTCTGCAAACCGCTTAGAGATGGCTGTAAAGCACTATAAAGCAGTATATAAGTCTAAGTGCTATTGCTATTAGAAATCATCCTATAGAAGCATTAGTTTTTCTTTAATAGTTTAAAAAAATTTAAGCTTTCAACCACTATTAGCTAAATGGACACTAAACCACCGTTACGTGTGTGTGAGAGAGTGAGCAGGACAGCACAAAAACCCTATGATGGTGTATGAATAATGAGCTTGATATTGGAAAAATTCAAAATATATTACTGACATTAGATTGGATCTAGCTGATATACTGGATTGGAACAAAATAATTAATTTGAGATTTAAAGGTATCAGGAAAGGGAAAAATCAGAATATACTAATTTAATTGGAGATCTTATCTCAAACTTGAACAACAAACTACCAGATTTACAGCTTTCAAATAAATGAAGAAAGCGTCCTTATAGTCATCTGAGTCCAATGAAATGCAAAAAACTAAGAAATATACAGTAACAAAATTTGTAAACAGTAGATAAAAGAAAAAATATGCAAAAAGCCTATGAACTAAAAAAGATATATTGGGGTGCAGATAAAATGTTACTTTTTCATATTAAACTTGCCATGTTACAAAGAAGGTCTTCAAATCTCTAAGAGATTTATTAAAAAGACAAAAAAATTAATTGATGTTTTCTTTCAAGTTAACTGTATTTCAATCACAAGGAAAAGAGATTATTTCTCTGATCCCAGAGATACAGTATGCAATAAATCTAGATAATGCTTCATGAAGAATTAAGAAAGAACAAACTTTAAGGTTTGAAAAATTCATATAAGTAGAGTTATGAGCTGAAGACTTGACAATGGGATCCTTTAGCTTGGCAGACTCATATGTCTAACTACTTCCCTGTTGTAAAACTTGGAATTTGTGGAACAAACATTTCTTCCCTTAAATAAAGAGGTTGAGCTAACCTGTGGTGTATTCCAAGCATTTTTTTTCATAACAGATAACAATAGTAGACATTAATTACTATTACCATTTAAAACTAAAATAACATCAAAAGGCAGCAAAACAGTTTTACTAAAATTGAATTAGTTTAATTGGACAGAATATTTCTTAAAACAAGTAAAATAAATGTATTGGAAATACAGAGAAAAATCTGGAAAATCATTGCCTTCTCAAATGATATATTTACAATGAAGTAAAATGATAATTAATAAAAAATTTCTTGGGAACAATGCATGTACCAATTATAATGAAATTAATTTTCATTTTTTTGGACATAGCACGCAAGCAGACAATTTTTAAAAAATATCTTAAATTTTCCAATAATTTCAGGTGCGCACTTAGAGGAATTGGCCACACCCTTAATTTTTTAGGAAATCTAAGATATTATCCATAAAATGACGTTTGGAAAAGCTAAATCAAACCTCAGGGTGGTGAAGAGAGGATTAAAACTAATTGAATAATAATAATAAACAATAAATAATAACAGCAAACTACAACTAAAGTTTCTGAAACTCAAATGTTATACTGTAACCATAGACTTGTCAGAGAAAAACCACAAAAACAAGATTACCCAACTACTACAATATGGAATTTATAAAAGTTGTCCTTTATTACATTAAAATTTCAATGTGGTGTTGGAACCCTTGGAACGGCTTACAAAACAAACTTGTGAAATTAATGGAATATGCTAGCTGAATTTGAAGGGAAACTATTGTTATATGCAAATAACATTCAGGTTTTTTCAATGATCATCATTCCTCTCTATCTAAATTTGTAGAAGTTGCAAGATTTCATAAAATAAAATAAATTGGAAGTCAAATGTAGCTAATGGTTAAACTATTATTATTTGTTTATTGTCCAGTTATTTATTTCCCAGAGATTATTATTTCCAGGAAAATATACAGTTTAGATTGTAAGATTATTTTAAAAATGTAAAAATACCCAGATTAAAACAGATACTAAGACAAGAATGCCCTCTAAGTCTGTGGGGAAGAATTTGTGCCATAAAAATAAACACATTTTTATTTTAAACACATTGCTAAATTAATAGTTAATATTTTATGAATGAATTAAATAGCCAGAATTTTGTTACTCTTATAACAATAGTAGTTTTTATCTTCCTCATTTTAATCAATATCATAGAGTTTATCTGTTAATCTCTATTATGTATTGGAATGGATATACTGAATATGTGAGCATAGTTTGAATATGATTTTGTGTTCTTGCAATTTTGGCAAGTTCTGGGCACTAATTAAAATAGGAATTTGGTTATATTTCCAGCACTGAAAGCAGTTGTTAGACATATCTGGGCCAAACTGGGTGGAAAATTTAAATTTGATTTTGCTTATGAGAAACTGACTGAAAATGACTGGTAATGGATTTGTCAAAAAAAAATACACTCATAACAAAATCATTACCTTCAAACAGCAATTTAGTTTTAAAACTGTTGGAAATGGTACATGCAAACTAAAATAACAATGTATTATTAGTAAACATCGTAAAAAGATTTCAAAAATATTTTTTTACAAACTTGGTTAATTCAGGAAAAAAAATTATCTTCAATCTCACACACGTGTGTGTGTGTGTGTGTGGACATTTAGAAAAGCAGTTACATTAGATACTTGTATGTTTTGCATGATAATTTTGTTCTATAATATTAAGTGGAAACTTATTTTCACCATTTTTTTCATTGAAATTTTACCCATAAAATAAGTTAGGTTTTTATTCTGAAATAGATAATAGTACAAAATAATATTTTAGATTTAAATAAAAACATACAAAAAAGAATTAAGTAGGCGTCTATTAGTAGGCTCTTAAAGATCAGGACAACAGCTGTGACTGAGAGACTGAAGCCCTTCCGCTCATATATATGTGGAAGTCATGGAGGAGAAACTAACAAGAAGGCAGAGTTTTGATAAGATGGTCACAGCTATCATTTTGACTTTTCTTTCCCCAGCTGACACCACAGGGTATAAACAGAGAAACCTGGAAAAATGAAGCATTTTTTAAAAACAAACAAAAATCTTACCTCTAGTGCACGCACAGAGTCTATCGGTGCCTGAGCAGTATATTACTGAGACAAATTTGTCTGGTTCTTCAGTACCTTCCTTTTTAGGTGGCTCCACTTTGGCCAGGATTTCAAAGTTTGAAAGATCTAATATTTTAACATAGCCTCCCTGAGTGGTTATTACTAGATGCCCAAGAGTAGAGATTTCCGATCTTTTTTCTCTCTCGCTGCCATTCTTAGAAGTTAATTGTATTTCCTCTGTAGGTTCCTCACAGTCATCTTCTCTATTATCCAATATGTCTGGTGGGAGCAAAATCAATGAGGTAATGGTATCCTGGGGGTCTTTGATATGCTGAATTTTTATAGGTTCCTCTTCTAGAGTCACAATCCTAGTGGCATAGTTCATTTTATAAAGCACTAGATAACCACCACTAGCGCTTCGTTGTTCTGGCTGGATTATTAAGGGCATCTGTACGTCTGCTGGTGAGTCATGCTGGATCATACTGATATTTGCACCATTCACTACAGTAAGATTAGATTCTATTTCTCCTTTCCTTCTATTACATAGTGCCGAGTTTAATTTATTTAAATTATTCAAGGCCTCTACTTGATTTATTGCACTCAGGGATTCAACAGGACATGTCCGCAGCCCTATTAATAAATGAACTCCATCTGCACAAGGAGTGATTGAATCTACACAAAAATTCTCCTCCTCTGCAAACTTTGGCAGTCTTAGGCACTGAACCAAAGTTCCAGGTTTGGGAACCATTGAGTTCCACTTCTCAGAGTCCGGAGAAGTTAGGCTGGCTGTTGCGTCTGCAAACTGCTGAATGTATGTCACAGGAGGATCTTGCAACAGCAATTGCTCCTGGCTATCCAACTCCATCTCTATGATTTGTGGGACTGTAAAACCATCATCATGTAAACTTTTACTCATGATATTGTTCATCTGTGAAAAGATTTTTCCTGCTTTTTCATCAGATTCCTTAATGCTGTAAAGCAGTAATATAGGTGAAGTCCTCCTTACCAGAGGAGAATTCAGTTCTGAATTAGTACAGGATTCGTTGTCAGTTGATCCCAGGTCTGATATACTACCAGCTTGAGTCCTGCTTAAATCATCCAGTGATCTCTGAGAATTACTACTAACAGGAGAGGTAGCAGGCGATTTGTATGTTAATAAACCTCCAGCTAACAAACAAGGAAAGGGAATGTTGTGGTGTTCCACATGCTTTTCCTTCATCTTTTCACTTTTACAGTTAGTTAGGCAAGGGTTTGCCCCAAGTTCTTCTAAATCTTTCACTGTGTCTTCAAGTACGTTTGCAACTATTTCCCACTGAAGTTTCTCAGGCTGCTGAAGAATGCTGAGAGCAGTTACATCAAGGCTGACCTCCATGGTTTCCTTTTGTGATGTGTGTCCTTAAAAATAAAACATACAATGTAAAAAAAAACAGAATTTATACATAGTACAATTATGTTTTTGTAAACTTTTATATTTCATTTATTTTATTTACACACACACACACACATACGCAAACCAACATCTAATGATATCTTCAAATATTTCTATTTTATCCAAACCAGGTAATTGTAGCTTGCCTAAGCTTGAGGATGGGGAAAACATGCTTTGTCATGTGAACGTCTGACACCTAAAAATTTTACAGAATAAAAGTAAATTACATGGTAGAGAAATGCATTTAAAATATGGTATAAAACATTTGCATAATGTGTTAATATGAGATCATCACACAAACAGGTATAATTTCTATACTGGTAAAGTGAAATATAAAATATCCAATGCCTAAAACAGAAATAAGAGGAAACCTACGCATATTTTCAGCATCAGTGGTAGAGATCCTAACCTTGAAGGAAAATAAGGGCCGGTCAGAATGATCTATCTCACACCTTCAAAAAGATTTAAGGGTTTCAAATACATTTTCCTCAGAGAATAGCATGAAGACATTATTCTCAATCAGCCAGCCCTTAAAAAAAAACTTCATTTGGGGGCTGCCCTTTCTGTTGAAAAGATTGCAGGTAGGAACAGAAGAAAAAGGATCATGAGACACACTTTCCCTGAACTATTCTCCCTGCCGTTTCTTATGTTGAAAAAAAGTTTTCTTTATTTCTTAATTCTAAATCAAAATATTAAGACTAATAGCAAGATATGCAATTCTTATTCTTTATTGACAAAAGCATTGCAAATAATTGCAAGTAATGTTATTTCTATTTCATAATAAAATATTATGTGCCTACCAGTCACTGATTCTGATCTGGAATGCTCCTCACTGTCTGAATCTTCTAGCAAATCATCACTAAAGTCAAGAAAATAAGAGAAAATAAGTCAAGAAAACAATTTAATACAATATACCTACTTCTAAACATAAATTTTAGCATTAAAATCTGTTAATATACCAACATATTATAAAATTATTCAATTAAATTAGTTAGGCAAGCTACTGATGAGTCCAATTATGATTATACTTCTATTTTAAATCCATTCTGTGATTTAACCTATAGATACGATCTTCTAATTCAGATGCAAATAGCCTGTATTTTTGCTTTAGAAGGTATATGGGAAAGAATTTGTTGAGGACGTCAAGTTAACCATAAGGAGAGTCAATTGACCTTATACTCTCATACTAGTGAGATCATCAGGACATATATTCTGTTTTTTTATAAATCAAGGTAAATACATTTCTTGCTGAAAATAATAAAAGTATGAGTGCAAAAATGTCTTTTTAGAGCAACTATTTTGTGTAAAAAGAAACCCTTCATATTGGAGCAAATGTAAATTAATTACATTAAATTAAATTAATATTTTGGTCCACATTCCCAAAATTATTGTATTGTGAAAACAAAGCTATCTTCTCTTGGAAGGAACTGAATATTGATAGTTTACCTCAGTACACTATGACAATATCTTCTTCCAAAGAAATAAGCACACTCACATTCAATCAAATATTTACCTGTCTCCTTCTAATTTTGGTATATCTGAACAGCTAGACGAATCTTCTATCCATGTTATTGTTGGTCTTCTTGAATCAACCCCTGAGCTCTGTTCCCCAGACAATACAAGTTGCTGTACAATTACTGGATCGTAAGCATTGATTTCAAACTTCAAGTGCACCTATGCAAATTTAAAAACATAATTAAACTTAGATGCAAATTCATATTAACATAATTAGCATTATAGCTCAAGACAACAAGATACCTTCATAAGTTTTGAAATATCCCATATACAGATCTTTCCTCGTTTTGTTGCAGCAGCTAAAAAATGAGGGCAGCTTCCAGATCCAAAGCAGACTATTCTGTCTGTGCCATCTGTACAAGGAAACTGCGCTGGACTTGTTGCCAGCGTGACCGAGAGGGGCACATTCTGCGTGTGTTCACCTTTCACAAATGGGCAGTTAGGGGAATGTCTTTCATGTTCAGACCTTAATGAATTAGAAAGATAAGTGTTAAAATGTAACAGCACTACTTTTGTCTCATTAGTAATTTTGCTGCGTATAAGCTAAGGTGTTTGGCTAATTAGCCTATAAGATAAAAGCACTAATCTAGCTAAGTTAAAGAGATAAAGTATAGATTCCAAAGTTCCTGTGAGCAAACCCCTATTCATAGCCATTTTTGCAGAAAAGGAGCAAAGGTGATTTTTGGTCATTACTCTTCTACTGCAACTCTCTGTACCTCCAACAATCTTATCTGGAGAGCTGAGATTACCCTCTAGGATTTTATAGTCGGTGACATATGTAGCTGTAGTTCCTCCATCTTATCTTTCACAGTATGGATCCAGAAAGCATTAAGGAACTCATTCACTTTTAATTTTTACCTGAATGCATGTGAAATTTGTGATTTTGAAGAAAAAGGTTTAAAGGTTCACATAACATGTATTCATACCGCAATGGATTTACTGTACATGTTAAAGTTCATAATTCAGCATCTTGAGATGTAATTCACAATTCAAAAATGCATAAAAGTGATTATTTTAAGGAAAGGAGAAAGAAACCAATATATTAGGAGAATCAGTTGTAAACATGCATGCTTCAGAAAGTGTACGAAGATGAGTGATTAGAAAAATAGATACTTTTTTTCAACATTTTTCTCTCAGATTTGTGAATTGGTATGTAAATAACTTAAAATCAATTGACAATTTGGAAAATAAGAAAGAGAATATTGAGAGTTATCCCTAAGTTCCAGAATAATAATGGGAAGTCATTGTTTCTGAAATTATTATGATTTGCTTGCAAGTATTATTTAAGAATGATGATTAGAAATAATGGTTGGTTCTTCATTCCATTCTCTAAAGACATCATTATTCAATCTAATTATTAAAATACTCTTTTTAAACAAGACAAAAACTCCTCAAATGGAAATTATGTCTATTACTGAACATTCAAAAATATTTTATTTAATATTTAAATATTAAATTCTAAAAGAATTCTATCAGAAAATCATATGCTACATTTTGACATTTTAATTACTTAAATGCTGTAATCAGACTTGAACCTAAGTATGTCACAAAAAGATCTAAATTTATAGATCTAACTCAGTTTCTAAGGTAAGCCTTAAATAAAGAATAGAAAGCAATGCAGATATGTCTCAAATATTACATTCTCACCAAGGTTCATCTGTTGGCTCCCAGCATACCAAACATACACTACACGTAAAACACATGGCTCTGTCATCTCCTGATGATGCAGGCTACAGGAGAAGTAAGAGCAACAAATGAAAGTTTAAATGTGACATACAGTATCCCATATATACAAACCCACACATAGCAGAGAACTTATTATTGCTACTATCTTAGCATACACATACAAAAAGAAGGAAAGAAAAAATGTCTTCTGGATAAATGCAAGTTCCTGAAGGGATAAGCTTCTTGCAAAATATATGTGTGTAACAATATTTGTCTCATGCTGTTACAAAATGAGAAAATCACACATTGAGGCAGGAATATCCAGAATGAATAAAACATATTTGGCCATAAGTAACTTTCAGAAAAGCTTTGCGGTAGTAATGGATAAGTATCTTGGTGGAATACTCATCTGCAATTATTTCTCTTTTGGAAATCACTGAACTGTCTTTAGAAAAAGGCTTAACAAGCAGCTACTATAGCTGGATGCTTTACTAGCCTTTCTTACTCTCCCAGGACATTTTATAGCAGATTTCAAAACAACTGTTTTGAAAAATGAGACTTTAACTCCACTATTGGGGAGTGATTGTTTTACTTGCAAATATCAAAAGGTTACAGACGATCTCAGAAATTTTCAACAAATCTAAGAAGTTTATAACATATTGCAATTGGTAATTGATAAAATTTGGAAATTTGCCTGACATAATTGATTTCTTCACTCACCTCATCCCGATTTAAATCCTACATCAGTCTACAGCAATGCCTTAGATCATGAGTAGCCAACTCTTTGGCCTGCTTGGGCCACACTGAGTGAAGACAATTTGTCTTGGGCCACATATGAAATATATAATATAGTTAATAGCAATAGCACTTAGGCTTATATACTGTTTCATAGTGCTTTCCAGTCCTTTCTAAGCAATTTACAGAGTCAGCATATTGAACCCAACAATCTGCATTCTCGTTTTACCAATCTCAGGATGGAAGGTTGAATCAACCTTGAGCCGGTGAGACTTGAATTCCTGGCAATGAGCAGTGAATTACCCTGCATTATTTTTTTATATTTTATATGATCTTCTGAGGCCACATTACTAGCTGAAGTGAGTTTCAGTTCACAAAAGCTTATGCATTTTAATAAAAACTGTTGGTTAGAAAAAATTCTACCAGATTCCTGACTTCTTTTGCCACACCTCTCCTCCTATAATCTTTCAAAATCAGTAATTAAGAATAGTATATAGTCCTACAACAAAGAATGACCTGATTTGAAACAAAGATAATTTACAAAAATGTTTGCTCTTTTTAATAATAAAATAATATAGCAAGATATCCTGCCCCTAATAATTTGTAAATGCCATTTGTATAATTTAAATAAAGTATTTATTATTTCTCTATTTAGAAATATTAGCATAATAAAATAAAAATATGGGAAAGATTGCATATTTCAACAATTATCTAACAAAGAAAAGTCACTTGCCCCTCTTTTAAAAATATTTTTAAGTAACAAAAAACCCAAGAAACGATTAGGATAACATATTAAGAACTGCTGACCTCAGGGCTCTTTTTACTTCTAGAAAGCTCTTATATATTAAGCCTCAAAGATTTTTGTGAATATAGTGAATAGATAGGAGGCTGCAGGATCATAAGTTGTTTTGAAACAAATCCAGTTACGCAGAAAATACACAAAAGTATCCTCATGAACATGTAAAGCTCATATGAGGAAAAAAAATTATTTGCTAAAAGTGATGGCAAAAAGCTATAATGGGAGAGTTGATTAGGGATAAGGGATGCTTTCCTCACCCATGTTTGTATGTATAGGTGGGTTTTTTTTAAAAAAAAAGTAGTATGATAAAACAGTCTTCAAAGAGTTTTCTTGCCACTGCCATCTTCTAGGATGTTTTCTGCTTTGCAGTCTAGTATTCTATAGTTCTGGGTATTCCTTGAAGTCCTTCCAATCAAGTATTGGTCAGGCCCATTCCTACTTAATTACTGAGGTTATACAGAGGATGCCATGTACTGAGACTAAACACATCATTAATATGCTGGTTGTGGCTTATTTCTAAGTAGTTGAGTTGTGCTTCAGGGTCGAATATGGCATACAGCATTTCAAATTCAAGGTCCACCTCATGCAAAGAAAATTATGTAGTTGTTCCCCATCTTATATCCTTCAAGTTGCCTTGCAAATGGATTTAAATATCTTTTATAAACATTTGACCAGAATTGTAGCATTTTTAAAATTTAACATTTGTAAATTTTATTTTGCCCCCCCAAGGCAAACTTTATTTTTGAAAAACTGAACATTTACAGCACTAAGAATAATACGTTTGTACGATTTCAGTTAGAAATCTATTTATTTACCTGATGGTAGAACCCAGCTTGAGCCATGGGATCTGGCTGTGCCCACCTATAACCTACATGAGGCCATGAGGTGAAGGTTTCCCGTCTGTTAGCCTCACTATACATTAAAGACCTTGGAAGAAGAAAAAAGGAATTACAAATTTCGAATAGTTCAAAGGTTCCCTAGTTTTCTTAATTCTCCAATCTTAAGTAGATCACTGCCCCTTCCAAAAGATACGAAATTATTTACTGTTTGCACCCTGCTCATAAAATCACAACTTAAATAATCACCTGTATTTCTCTTCCTCCATCTGCTGAATTTCTTACTCCTTCTATCACCCATAGTATAATTCTCCCTTATAGAATTTGTATTCCACCATAGATACATGCTCACAGTTAAGGGTTATCTCCCAGAACGGTGATTGCCTCACATAAAAAATTAACACGTGAATTTATAGGTATATTACAAGACACTGTTATAATGCAACATCCAGTTTGCAAAAGTTAAAAAATGCGGTAGCAACTTTTTTCTTTCTCCACATGCTTAAGAGGGAGAATTTGGGCTTTTCCCTTCAGGAATTATTATTCAGGAATTATTTCAAAAAACAGGAATGGATAAACCATAAGTCATGTGGTTCCCTACAATCTTTTTCCCCCCAGATAATACATTGCCAAAACTAGCAGCACACAGAAGTGTACCTATTCACTGAGCTCAACAAGAACACTCCCACCCCAATATCAATCTTCACATTGGTTTTATATATCTAAAGACATATTTAAAGTACCTGCAAACACTACTAATTATATTCCCTTGTATGGATGTAATTGCTTTCCACAAACTAAACAAACAAACAAAACAACATAGTACCTGATCTTTACAAGTTTTTCTGCATAAAGAAACCTGAGTATCTAAGGTGTGCTATGATTAGCTATACAAGATGACTCTGAAATAAGTCTGAAACCATTCTAACTTTACTCCTGAAAGTAAATCAGGAAGATTATCAATCATCAGATAAATTGCCAACTCTCAAATGTTAGACATGTTGGAAATTTTGAATACTGTATCCAGGATGCAAAATGGCTCGACAAGGAAGCATAACCATTTACAATATATCAATATTCTAAGAAGAATGTTCCCTACTACCCAAATTACTTCACCATTTTTCTTCCTGCACAGCTGGATGCTGTACATGCAGCATTCTACATGTTTATTTTCAAAGAAACCTGTGGAGTCCAAGTGAATTGAGGTACTTATAGAAATAAATATTATTCTATAGGTTAGGGCTTTACTAACAGGTATCAAGGAACATATATCCACAAGGATAATATCACAATTGACACCACAATATATGAACTATATATTGCCATATATAGGCTACTATAGTGACTCCTTTATAGAAACCATGTGATGCTGAGTATACATAGGAAACTTACAATTCCAAAAAGCAACCTACCATTTCTCTGACTTCTTCCTCAAGCAAGCGTTCTCTGAATTCATCTAGAGGAACTGTCACACATAGCATTGAAAACAGCCAATCTGTCACCCCAATAACTTTGTGCTATTGCTTCTGATCAGACTAAAAATACACATGCAAATGAAACAAACCGTAAAACAGCTTTTTAAAAATGTGAATTAACTTCTCCATACCTATCCACTGATCGGCCAGGCCCCACACCAAGTTCCGGTCGTGCACTGGGCAAGAGGTAAGATAATCTATCCATAACAGATGAAGCTACAGGTAAGGCAGCAATGTTTTGATTTATTTTCTTGAGTTCACTTACAATGGCACTGGCAACAGACTTCAATACATGATGAGGGAGATGGAACATAACAGTTGCCCACTACAAAAAATAATAATAAATTGAATTTCAGTTATTGAGTACAAGACCTCAGCTTCCAAAACACAATATGAATGTATTTTTTAGGATACAAACGCAATAAAACGACAAAAAGGCTAATGAGTATAAAAAGTCTTTAAAAATAAGAATGCTACACCAGCATCTTTGAGATATTTTGCTTTGAAACAAAGCAAACATAGTACAACTCTGGCCCTCCAGATGTTGGTGACTGTCAGCAGCCCTGCCCAACATAGCTACTGTAAGGAGATGCAGATACTCAAACCTACAAATATAAACATAAAAAACTAGATTTATGTTTGTTCTGAAAACACTTTATTCAAAAAGAATAACTGTATAAAATTTTTCGAAGACTTCCCTTTCATTCTTTTGCTTACCGTAAAGGAACTAATGTCTAACATTAAGACAGAAACAACAATGGCTAAAAAATGGACCCTCTCTGTATTATAAACACATGATGATAATTAAACAGAAAGTGTCCAACTTTCCTTTCCCAATCCTTATATGGCACAATCATGTTCAAGCTTGACTAACAGTTTCATTCCAAGGGAAAACAACTATTAAAAATAAAATATAGAATAGCAAGAGCAAAGAAGATAACCATGTGGCATTAAAAAGAGTGATAAGATTTCTTACCTTTGCAACTTTGTGGTTTGCTGCTGTTTCATGTGAGGTATTTTTTAATCCATCTTTCAATTGTGCAAGAAACAAATCATAACCTTCTGTGCTTGACACATCTATCTTCTCTATGCAAGCAGACAACAGTTGTTGAGCCTGAGATACAAAAAGCGAATTTTTCACTTCTGACTAGCACTGGAAATACCCATAGAAGTTGGTTAAAAAAGGGAAGAAACTGATTCATGTTCAGATCATAATAAACAATTGGATCCCTTATTTAAACTTACAACTTTCATAATAAAAATGATTATATATTCTTGGAAAGATGCATGTGTGGCACATTCTGAAGACTGATTTAAAGAACTCTTCCAGGTCTTCTTATTGGCAAGGAGGTAAGACAGCACAATTCTAAAGGTTTTTTTTTTCCCTTCTGCCTTTTTTTTTTAATTGTTAGTGTTTCATATTCTGTTAAATATAAAACTTTTCAGAGTGGAATTAAATCATCAAGTCTTGTTTTCAAGTGGTATCATTTGCACTATATATTAATAATTAATAAAAATATAATTTAAAATGAGATGCATGTATCATAATATATAATATAGTAAACACAACAATAATAGTAAGTAGCAAGGTCATCAGATTTGTATTTACCCATGCTTTTAAAATGTTGTTTCATAGTGAACCATTACATTTACTGTATTTTGTACCAATATGCATTCCAAAGTAACTTATCTGTGGTGCATTGAAAGCTTGAAAAACGTAAAACAAGGTTGCATGATCAACAACAAAAGAGTTCCTATTTGACTCTTTCATCCAATTCTTATCATCCAAGCACAACTGGCAAAATGCAAGTGTGCACATATAATAGTATTTTCTAGTTAAGTACTCTTATTCTAGTTAAATAGATCTCCATGATTGATTTTCTCAAAATTTACCAATAGCTAAAATTCAATTAAAGTACATACAAACAGGAAAAAGGGATATTAATTAGTGGTATATAGGTCTATGAATATATTCTCTAATCTCTCTATAGCTGATTTTAAATAGGGAAAAAATATGCCTCTTCTGTTCCATAAATCTTATCAAGGAAGGTAAACCAGGAAGATGCATTTCAAACTGTTAAAAGGCAATTATCATCAACTTGAAACCAGTCTGAAAACAAACTGGGAGCCAATGGATTATTTAGGTTACATGTTTCTGAAATTTACCACCAATCAGCATAATTATCAATTCTTTGACCAGATGAAAATCCCAGGCTACTTCATGAGTATGATTACTGAGAGGTCCTGTATATGATGAAAGTCAGATTCTGCATATGATACCATGAAAATGAGGAAGAGGCAAAGTCTTTTTTTGCCTAGCATAGTAACAGTATTATAATAAAAATACATATTCATTAGGAAAAAGTTAAAAGGCAATTAGATCTGGTATGTGAGGTACCTGCAGAAGTCTACTAATCACTTACCTCTGTCACTGGCAATTCAAGCTGAACTATATCATCTTGTTTAGAAACTGGAGTCTGCAGAGCTGTGTCCAACAACAAGATGCCATTCAGATCTTTCCTACATCCAACTGCATAATCATCCACAAAGATGACTTTATCCACTGCAGAAATGTACTGACATTTCACCCGTCCACCTGGCTTAGCTGTAAAATATAAAAAGCAAAACAATAAAATAAAGATATTTCAAGAAAACAGATTCATGGAATCCTGCTGAAATACAGTATATTGCAATCTCCTCTCACTGATCATAGAAGGGAAAGCCTATTATGGAAAGACACTATGCACGGCTTCTGAGAAGATTTTAACAAAGTTGCGGCATCTTTTACACTAACATCTGAAGATCAATGAATGGTATTCTAACTTCTAATACTGTAGCCACTTCTCCTAGTATAGAGGTACTTGTTTTCCTTATTTTCATACACTAAGTTGAGAAATATCTGAAACGAAGCTGAAAAACGCTTGGATTTTTTAAAAAACAATATTATTTTAATTTTTTATAGAAGAAATGTTTGTAGGTATAGACAAGTATGTTTCAAAATCCAAAATCTATTCAGTATAACTTTGATTAAAATATCTTCCAAACATCCATCTAATTCATAACTTACTAAATAAATGTATCAAATTGTTCAATCTTTGATGAAAAATAATCTGAACAAAAGATAGATTTTTTATGCATTCTGAAAAGGAAAAGCACACACACATGTATGCACATGTGACAAATAATGAACATTATCAAGAGTAATAAAAGAAAATACATTCTTGATATACAAGTCTAAAAACCAAAAGACTGTAAGTTCTAGTTCTGCCTTTGTTCAACAACCCTTTTAAGTGATACAGGAATTGAACAAGATTTATGTCCAATCCCCAAAATTATAGCCGTTGCAGCACCCCTGTGGTCATGTGATCAGAATTTGAGTGCTTGACAGCCTGCCCAAACTTGAGATTGCCCAGGCAACGCAAGTCCCCTATCTACCTCTTCCATGTATGCCTTTGCTCCTACACTCCCCAGCCCCTGCCATCGTAGCAATAGCAATAGCACTTAGACTTATATACCGCTTCACAGTGCTTTACAGCCCTCTCTAAGCGGTTTACAGATTCAGCATATTGTCCCAACTATCGTATACGTTATTGTAGCTGACTTTTGTTGTCCTCTTGCTCTCACTGGTGACCAAGTATGCCCAGTTTGACATGGGGAAGATGGCCTCATATGGTTCCTTGTGAAGGCCCAGGGCTGCTACATCACAGCAGAAGGAAGATGGTGAAAATCAGCTGAGGTTGCAGTATGCAGAGTACAGAGCAATGAAGGCGGCTGGGCTGGGCTTTCTAAGATAGAAGCTTCATGCTGCAGTGCTAGGTGGCAGCTTTGCTGGTTGGTGGTTTTATACTGTGTCTCTGGGACTTCATGTTGCAGTGCTAGGTGGCAGCTTTGCTGGTTGGTGGTTTTATACTGTGTCTCTGGGACTTCATGCTGCGATGCTAGGTGGCAGCTTTGCTGGTTGGTGGTTTTATACTGTGTCTCTGGGACTTCATGTTGCGGTGCCAGGTGGCAGCTTTACGCAGCACCACTGGGGCTTCTAGAGGAGGTGACTATGCATTGTGGTGTTGGGCAGAGGCTTTGCATTGAATTGCTGAGGCTTCATGGAGCAGCTGCTTTGTGCTGTGTTTCTGGGCTAGATTGGACTGTTATCACACTACAAAAGATTTGCTGCTGCACTGTGGTCCAGGGCTTCTTGTAGCTCCAGAACTTCAGCGCACCCAGAAGTCAGTGATCAATGGCGCGGCAACCAGCCTCAGAGGCATGAGGTTCTGGGACTACTTATCACCTGCAAGACAGTGTGCAGGGTGTCCAAAAGGGCAGAGATGTGGTGGGAGATAGATAGGTTGGGTGAGTTAAAGAAAAGACAATAGCTTAGCTTACTAAGGGAAGGGAAGGAGGGACCAAGTAAGGGTTGGATTAGGGTGGGTACTCACTTAATGATCTGTGATTCTTCATTAACGATGGCAATGGGGACTGCCAGGATTACATAACGCTGTCATGTAAAGTTGTGCTTTATGACTGCATTACTTAATAATGGAAATTCCAGTCCCAATTGTGGTTCTAAGTCAAGCACTACCTATGGCAAACTTTAATTTCTATACTGTTCCTATATTTATGAAATTTATGGTTGTCGCAGACTCTACAACAGTAGAAAATTCCACCTTCTCCCTAAGTAACAGTAAGAGACTCAATTAAGTATGCTTGCCTATTGAGCTCTTTTCAAATGGTGGAGTATCCCGTTTGGAACTACTGGAAGGGGACGTATTGGCAAAGTTTTCTTGGTTGGCTGCTATGAAATGAGATAGTTACTTGCTGGCTATCACCCTGTTGATTCACAATTTCTGCATCTTGTTGATGTTTAAGACACAAGCACTTTTAATAGACATGATCTGGCAGAGTCCTGGAGCCCCATAGTAAAAATACTGTACAATCCCTGATCCCTTCTTTTTTGCTTTTTTTCTGATGACACGGAAACCTTGGCTGATCTGATTTGCATGGCTTCTCCTCTGTTGGATTCCGAGGAGGCTATTGGGAGAGGGTGATATGGGGAAAAACAGACTGTAGATTCCCCTTACTATTTCTTCTCTTCCAGTCAATGTCTATTACTACACAATGCTGATGTAGCTCTTCCAGGATATCCTTATTCACTTCTGACACCGCTTCAGCTCCCAGATCTTCCATCTTGTATGGGATCGCCAAAGCATCAAGTTTACACATGAGGTCCTGGTCCTGTCCAATATCAGATGGTTCCCTCAATGAATGAGCTGCTGCTTCCTTCAGCAAACTTAATCCAAAATTCATTTTGGTGTGATCAGCGGGAAAACTCCACTGGTCTGCCTGCCATAAACATATCAGATTGAGCAGTGAACATAGAATTGATCCTGGTTTTGGCAAGCTCCTATGGGAATGCAGAAGCATTGCCTGAGCTGCAATTTGTTGTGCTGCCATGACTTGAGGCAAATTCTGCTTCAGCTGTTGCATTAATTATATCATAGCATTCTACAAAGTGGTCATTTGCACATCTGCTAGCTTCTGGGGTTCCAACAATGCTGCTGCTAGATACTTGGTGGATAGCAGTTTCTTGACTGTCAGAGGACATTCCTGAAATTCCTCTCCTTGGAAGACAGTAGGAGACTTGCAAGATTGATGTCAGTCTTATCAGGTAGACCAGACGGGAGACACAACCAGATGAGCTAACTTTACTTTATCGTGAAGCTACAGTAACAGAATGTCAGGCCCAGCTCAAGAACGACATAGAGCAATCCAGTCAAAGTTCAGTTCCTTATTTGCTTGTACTCAACAGACAGAATTTTTCCCAGGCTTAACCTTTATTACTCTCACGCTAATAGGTATACCTGAGATGTTCTAGGAATTGGCTAGAGTAACTCTTTTCTCTGACTCCTATTCAGGCTGTATTCCCTCTTTATCTTGCCCCGCTTTCTTCTAACACATAAATATAGTCAGGGACAATTTCTTAATAAAGCTTTTTAAAGATTTATTACCATTCCCTCTTAGCGTTCTCTTTCTTTGATATCTGTCCTATAAATTCTAAATTAAGGGTCAAAGCACAGAATAGTACCAAAGCAGGTATAACCTGCTCTTATTTTCACTTGCTTACAGGTAGACCTGGACCATTCATTTAATAACTGTTGAAAGTTACAACAGCCCTTAAAAATGTGATTTATGACCATTTTTCACACAATTGTTACAGAATCCCAAGGCTTGTGGAATCAAAATTTAGACTCTTTTTCAGTGCAGTTCCACTATAACTTCAAATGGCCACTAAATGAATGGACTTTGTTTTTTTCCCCCTTGAAAACATTTTGCTTCTCATTAGAGAAGCTTCTTCAGTTCTGACAACTGAGAACCATTCATTCTTAATTTTATGGTTGTAAGTGTTTATAAGTCAAGGAGTACCTGTAACAGTACATAGAAATCGTACTCCCTGCTGGATAGTTCTTTAAGATTGGATAACTGAATGTCTTTCCAGAGTCCTTATATAGGGAGCAACATAGTAGCATATGACTTAGAATTGCTATTGAGCCATCACTAAATGGATATAACCAGAAGGACATAGGAGTGTCCTTCAAATATCCAAAATAGACTGCTAGTCTCCAGCCTAGCTAAAGTGAAAGTCTTACAAAATTCCAAAATTATAATAGATGATAAGAGGGAAGAGTGAACTTTTACAGGAGAATATGATAAAAAAGATGTGGTGTGACTCCTTTGCTTAAGTTTCTTTGGAGATCCATATCCCAAATTCATTGTTTGAATTTAGACCTAGAATCCTGGACTGCAAGAGGTCAATTATTCTTTCATTATTTAAGTTGCAGATATGAGTCCTAGACAAGAATTTATTTCTCTATAGTTCTTTTTCTGCCTGATCTACTCCTCTCAATTCTTGTATTACTAATTGATTTATGACAAAGACAGTAAAATCACTGGAAATGTGTTAATTGAGAACTTGTGCAAGACAACATAGAATAAAAGGGGGAGGGGA